TCGAACCTAAAATAATAAAACCCCATTATTTAATTAGTGGTGGTGAAATTGTGTTGGGAGGTTCACATTTATCCTCAACACACAGAGCCACCGAAACTAAGAGCAGATGGAAGGTATTAAAATGCTGAGGGCTCAACTTTGAATACTACCAGCTGATGTGGAGGCAGCAGGTCCGGCTGATGAACCTGTAGAGAACTCCTCGATATTCCAGGGGTTCCTTGTTCTACCACCAAACCAGATGTCATCATATGCCAGTGATCCAGAAACCAGCTTGGCAACAAGAACTGCCCCTGCAGACTTCAACCTAAATTGAACAGAGATCAACTAATGAGCAAAATGCAATTTAAGCTGCAATGTGTTGGTTTATGAGTGACATGTCATTTTCTTGGCACTTTACATGCCAAATCGTAGGGATAGGAGGATAGTATATGTGACATGTCAGCTCAACTGCCACACCAGTTTGTGAAAACAATTTTTCTCAAATCCTGAAATCTACAATACTCAAGTTTCTTTGTAACCTCTTGTACACCCAAGCTTCAATGTCCAGAACTTGACTTTTGAAACTTCTCGAACCCCAAGTTGTTTTGTAGTGGGGAACTGCAATTATATCCTTCAAACCATAAGGAATCCCATGCAGAGGACCTATAAAGAAAGTCAATAATAAATGAAGATATTATAATGCATAAACCGACTCAAATGCCACCTAAGAAAAACTTTTCCTACATCATCTATTTATTTATCCTAATAAGGTGATACCCTAAGGTGGAAGAATGCCTAATCTTAAATAGCTCGGGAAAAGAATTTGATGATTGTCTCTCTATCTCAACACAAGCATTTGAGGTCTAGATATTATACTGCAGGATGAAGATATATGAAAGATGATGGCTCAAATATTGACTTTGCTGCCGAAAACAGGACAGGCAAACATGACTGTGCATGATATTGATGACATTAATAAGAAAAGAGATGTACCCAAATATACTCCTTGGGCAAGAAGTTTATCAGCCTCTTTTGCTTGCTTGTATGCTAATTCTTCGGTATAAGTCACCACCGCCTCAAGAGCATGATTGTACCTAGTTTTCCCACAATGCATCAATACCATGACTAGTCCTGAGTATTATAACAAAGCAAAGAAAGTATTTTTAGAGCTCACTATTACCTTTTAAGTCTTTTCAGAAAAAATTTAGTGAGCTCCTTAGATGTAATTTGCTTTGTCTTAATGAGCTCTCCCAATTCAAGAATCTGATGAACACCCAACAAGTTAACTAACTCAAAATATAATCACTATTCATATGCATGGCTTTGCAGCAACAGACTTACACTCATAAAGGCAATATCTTGTTCACTTCCGGGTTTTTTAATGCCAGACAGAGAAGGGTACTTGAATCTTTTAGTTACATGCTGTGATTGCTCACTGCCCCAAGCAGAATTGAATACCAAGTAAGACGGGTGATGCAAACCTCCATTCACTGAAGCAACTAATTTTCGATTAGCTGTGAATATAGGGATGTTGAACTCCTTTTGACCCTTCACAATCTCCAGCATCTAAAAAAGTATATAGAAAAAAGGTTCAAACTTTATCACTAAAACATGGTCCATAGAATGCATCAAAGGCACATAAATACTACAGAAGCGTTCACCTTTGTGTTATTGAAGAAACTGGAGTCAAACAAATCAAATGCACAATTAAGTGGGTATGAATGACCAACTTTTGCCCAACAAACACCGTGCTCATCACTCTCCTAATCAAATTACACCCCAAAAAAATTACACAACTGAAATGTAAAAGAATTTTTTTACTCTCTTTTTTTCACAAGATTCAAGAATCCCAATTGAACATGGATATGAATAAGAGAGTTGAAGAGAAATAGTTACGACCTTTTTAACATCTGAAGCAACAGTGCGGCAACAGATCGCAGCTAGAAATATGACACAAGTGATACCACTGTGGGTCCACCCACTTACTAATGGAAGATACTTCTCCTTCAGCATCATGGCTTAATGGCTTCCTTGCCTCCTAATCACTGCAAAACACCGGTCTAGTGGCCTCTCTTTCTCCACCCATTTGCAGAGCTAATGGTCAAAACTCAAAACACGTTTGACATTATGCACAAGCTTGCTTGTATTTACCATTTCAACTTTCAAAGATGCTGCTGACTAAACACTTCACTTAAACTTTCAAAGAATAATACTTTTATGGGGGACCATATCTGGCCTTATTTTCAACAAAAAAATATTGTAAACAAAAGTTGAACAATAGAAAAAGATGAAAGCTTTACAGCTTTCCTTCTTAGCAGCTCAGAGGCACCATGTGGTTGGAGCCTCTGAAAAACCAGAAGAAGCCAGTCATGGCAAAAATGGAGGTGAAAAAAAACATTGGTGGGTTGGGTTCAGTTGGTAAATTATGAGAGTAAATAAATTCATAAAATTGGATGAAATTAATTTTTTTCTTTTTTTTAGAATTTAGTGAGGTGGGAAAGGGTGAATGGGTAAAAAGCTTCTTCACTTCGTTTGTCGCCGACAAATTTACAGCGCTGTAGCTTTATAAAAAAAGGTTTCGCTTTTGCTGATAAGAGCAAAGGGAGTCTCTCTTTTGGCCGCAAGAATCCAACGAGTGAAGTTAAGGGTTGCTCTCCCTCGCAGTTATCGCCAGCCATTACAGGTATGTCGTCTATGGGTCTCTTTTTACGACTTTGCTGTGACAATTTCTCTGAGAAAGTTAGGGTTTTGGTTTGCAATCGCAAAAAACCCTAAACCCACCTTCTTTTCTATTCAAATCAAGCTACATTCTGCCCCTTGTTATGGCCAATTGATATAATTTGGTTATATAGTTGTAGTCTAATGTGGATGGAATCTGCTTACTGCTTTACCCATTTTAGATCCAATGCATCTCAGTTTCTCTTCTAGTTTTAGAGTAAAATATGGCTCTTTGGTTGACTCTGGAAGTTAATTTTGGTCCCCTTTGCTTTGTTGTATGCTTGTCAGAATTTGCTTGGCCTCAAAGCTGTATTTTACTTTATTTCTATATGATCTCATATAGAATTTTGAGTAGTTAGATGAGTTTGTATGGTTACTTTTGGAATTCTTTGCGTTGCTATTTTTCTGTTTAGTATCACAAGCGCTAGAAATTTGCATTACTGGATGATAATCAGCCTATTGGAAGTTCAGAAAACAAATTAAATAAAATAGATTTATAATTGTAAAGCTTCTAATCTGGCCAGTAAAGCCTGTAGGATACGTTTTCCAAGCCTTTATTTTAAAAAAATTTGGGGCCCCATGAAACTTGGAAATAATAAAGATTGATGATAATACGGCAATATGAAACTAGGAAACACAATTTTCTTTACTTATAAGGTATTTGAGAAGCCCCGTATTAAACTTATTCATCCAACCAAAAACACACAGAGGGGTTCTGGAGGTTTTGATTTCCTGGAGCATGTCACTAGATATACAGCTTTGGTATGTAAACATGATAGCGGGAAATTAATAGAGGATGCATAAAGTTTAAGCAACAGCTGGTATATGGCTAAACCTGGGAGGATGCCTAACAGTCAGTCTTCTGAAATTAAGCATAACCGTGGACTCTCTAAATCAAAAGGTGTGTGACTAAGTAACGGAAACTCAGTCCATTGTATCCCTTGAATGGTTGTTTGACATGCCTGGTAGTACTCTTATTAGGAGACACTAAGTTTCGGTGGTTGTCTTTGAAAGTTGAGATGTGGGGTAACTCTTCAGTTGAGTTTTCTCAACATTAGCTTAGTTTTGCATTTGGATTTACTCCAGTATACACCTTGCTATCATTTTGAACCTGCTTTTCTATAGGGACTAAGAAAGCATTAATTATCTTTGAGTTGAATGTGCTAAGTTGGTGAATTTTAGCATAATAGAAAGCTCATAAATTGGCTAAGTAAACTATCCTAGTGCTCTAGTGTTTAAAAAGCGAGCCATCCACATTATGTTGACAAGTTTGCTTTTTTCAAAAAAAAAAAAACAATTATTCTATATTAGGAAGTGCAGAAATGTGCCATCTCACTTCTTGAAGATGAGAAGCTCGTACATGATATACTCAAGTGGTTTCTTTATTGCTAATACAATTTTCATCCTTGAATTCATAAGGGCACTATATTTATTGTTCACAAAATATTAAATATTAATTGTCTACTGCCTACAATGACAACCTCTTTGTAATTTGATTACATCTAATAATTTTCTTTACATTCTAGACTATGCTTAAGGTCCCAGATCATCAAGTTGCTGGCCACCAAGCCGGTGATGGGAAGCTTGGCCCTCTTATAGATGATTCAGGGCACTTTTACAAGCCTCTTCAGAATGATGGGCGTGGATCCCATGAGCTAGCGTTCTATACATCATTTTCTGCTGACACTAGGATTCCAGACCACATCCGCAAGTTCTTCCCTGTCTTTTATGGCACTCGGCATTTAGAGGCGTCCGATGGTTCTGGCTTGTATCCTCACCTTGCATTGGAAGATACTGTCTCAAGTAGAATCAATCCATCTGTATTAGACGCAAAAATTGGTTCCAGAACATGGTACCCGCAAGCTGCTGAAGATTATATCATAAAGTGTCTTAAGAAAGATAGAGAGACCACGAGCCTGGAGCTGGGGTTTAGGATATCTGGACTTCAGGTTTATGGAAACAAAGAAACTGGATTTTGGAAGCCTGATAAGAAGTGTGTTCTAAACTTTAGCATTGAGGATACTAGGTTAGCTCTGAGGAAATTTGTGTCTTCTAACCCATCTACAGGTTCAGATATCAAACCAGATTGTTCTTTTGCATCGACTGTCTATGGTGGTCCTGCTGGGATATTGGCACAATTGTTGGAACTGAAGTCATGGTTTGAGGAGCAGACCATTTTCCATTTCTATTCTTGTTCAGTGCTGATGGTGTATGAGAAGGAGTCAATACTGCAAGGGAGGAATTCAGGTGCTGAAATCAAACTTGTCGATTTTGCGCATGTCATCGAAGGCAAAGGTGTTATTGACCATAATTTTTTGGGTGGGCTCTGCTCCTTGATAAAATTGATCTCAGATATTGTCACCAGTAGTGCCTGAACCAAAGCATGTCAGCTCTGTGAGAAGAACAGCATCTGTACTCATTTTTGTACTAATAACATCATACATTTTCAATTTCTCTTCTCATAATGATCCCTTTCCTTACTACTAAAATAAATAGACCCAGCTCATGATTTCAGGTGTTGATGTTTTTTTTAATTTTTCAGAACATCTATTGATCCTAGATGTAAATGTGCCATGCTTATTCTGGCAAACTGGAAAGTTGAAAACATTTTGATTTAATTGCCTCCACACAATCTTGTTACCCCCATATAGTTGAAAATATTTACACAACTCTTTTACATGCCATTGCTGGTCCCCTCAGATGGAAACAGTGCTGCTAATAACTGACATCATATCTTTTTATTTGAATTAAACTAATGACAATGCTTTTGTCTGTTTAATTTTTATCCATTTCATTGTTTAAAAGCCAGTGCAGCCATTTCCTTTCCTGTAATGGCAAGGAAGACTGCAGATTCAGGAATTATATAAAGCTTAAGAAATGTCAAAAACTTGTCTAGGGTCCACTATGGAGCTTTCAATAGCCGACCGAGGAATGAACGGCAAAAATATGAGTGGTATTTGAAGCACATGGACACCCTGCCATTCAGGCAAAAACCAAGATGATTGTCTTTAAAGCAATGCACTTCTTACAAAATAATCCATTTCAAATCCAGCAGTGAACTCCAAGCTTAACAAATTACTTCCATTTCTTGCAACCTCAACGTCATTATTTATTATTATATATACACATTAAAATCAAATACTGATTACCACACAAAACAGAAGCACCCAAGATGAGTTCATCTTTTTCCTGCTGCATTGTCTTTCTCTCTGTCATCTGTTTTTGCACTAAAATCTGCTCTGCAGATTCTGATAATCTCCAGGACACTTGCCCTACATCCCCATCAGCAAAACAAACCATCTTCATCAATGGCTTCCCATGCAAGAACCCAAATGACAACACTGCCCCTGATTTCAAAACTTCCAACCTGACCAAAGCTGGCAATACAGACAATTTCTTTGGCTCCTCAGTGAATATAGTGACTGCTGCAGAGCTGGCAGGCCTCAACACCCTTGGCCTCTCAATTGCAAGAACAGACCTCAGAGTGGATGGCATGGTTACCCTTCATTCTCACCCCAGAGCTTCTGAGCTGTTCTTTGTAAGCAAAGGCATAGTGCTTGCTGGGTTTCTTGACACCCAAAACCGGGCCTTCCAGAAGATTCTTAGGGAAGGAGATGTGTTTGTGTTCCCAAGGGGCCTGCTTCACTTCTCTCTGAATGCTGGGTATGATTTTGCCACTGCTTTCTCAGTGTTTAACAGCCAAAATCCAGGAGTTGTGGGCATCTCTGGTAACATGTTTAAGACTGATCTGGATATGATATACAAGATAACAAAGGGGTTTCTCTCTGATCGCATAAAAAATGTCACTTTTCCTGGTTCTTCAAGTCTTAACAGGCAGCACTTCAGAAACTTAAATCCTATCATATGAAGATTATATAAATATAGTTCTTTGTATCTACTAGCAGTTAAATGCATAACATTGTTTCAAGTGTGCCATTATAGTCTCAGGAGTTTGCTGTGGGCTAAGAACAAGAGTGATCATCATAAATTATAAGAAAGACTGCTCCCTATAATGTAAAGCTTTGTGGCCTCTTTTATGGCAGAATATGTAATGTTTTGATGTTTTCTATTTCCAGTGTGCTGCAGAATGTTTTCTATTTCAAAAATTATTTTGATTTTTTTTTTGTGGTAGTTAGTTATTTATTTATTTTGATTACATTGGAACGAATCGAAACATTAACCTATCGTTTCATCCTTAGTTAGGAAAAATGACTAAATGCAATAAAAAAATGACATATAAAATAGGTGAATAATATAAATAAGTGGGATAGTAGAATAGATTTATTCTACAAATGAAAATATTATTTTTATGTAAAATAGGTCTGAAAATTGAAA